TTAATTCTAATAAAATCTTCTTACTCCTTATCTACAATTCAAATTTTTTTTTTTACCATCTTCCTTTTTCTCATCCTCCTCCTGTTAATCGTTTGAGGTGATATAAAATAATGAAAAAAAGAGAAGACGAAATGAGACAAATTGAAAATCTAAGAGAAAAGGGTGAAAAATAGTTTTTGACATTTATTATAATAATTTAATATTTTTAGGATTATATATATTTTGTAATAATCCAAGAGATATCATCTTCTAAGCCAGTTGCATTAAATCGAAAGATATCATATTTTAAATCTTTAAAAACTATCTAGTAAAGTGCATGACCAGTAAGAAGGATTATGGAAAAAGGAAAAAAAACAGAACTAGAGGGATTATAAATAATAAAAATATTATTTTATTAATTTTCAAAAATAATGAATAGTAAGAAAAGGAGTCTAAAAAGTAAGCATTTTCTTCAAAAATGTTTACACAATTAATTCTCGACCAACTTCGTGCTTTTGTCCACGTGTTCACCATTTACAATGTTTCGTATTGAAATTGTCATCCTTGTCATGCCATCAATCGTCCTTCTTATTTACTGTCTCGTACGATCTTATTCAGTGCATGAGATATGGATAGGATTTCTATCACGAACAACATTCTTGTCATGATTAATCATAGACTCAACTACTCCAATAATTGCATCACTTCCATATATCTTCCGGTCTTCATCAACTACTCTTGTCATAATTTAAGAATTGAAATCTGTATAGTTACCGCACCTTGCAGTAAATGTGATCTATACAACACCTTTATAATAATAGACTTGGAAAGCTTTTAATTGGATTTGAGATGTGATGAAAATAGTAGAAGATAAGAATAATTATTGAAAAAATGAAAAAATTTATTAAAGAAATAAAAATGCTTCAATACATTAACATGTTCTCTCTCATATTTATACAGATCAGGAGGAAGGATTTCCTTCAATAGAATAGAGTGATTTCCTCATATAATTGGAGAAATCTTATCTTCTATCAAGATGTACCAAAATAAAAAATATATATATAATATTTTGCGTAGTCTCACATCGAAAAGAACTGAAAAACGAGTTGAATCGATGTATAATAGATGATTGGATATGCTGCTATTAATAATTTAAACTTAAATATATAAGATAATCTACTATAAATAAAACAAGAGGTTTCAACAGGAAAGGTGATCATCTTACATGCTCGTCTTACATTTTAGATACGTTGGAAATGCTTTGTGGATTTGGAAGCTGATGATTAGACTAATCCGTGATTGATATGTCTCAAGATAGATTGGACTAAAGAAATAAAAAAGAGTTTATATTTTGTTGGTTAGATGATTAGATGATCAAATTGATCGAATGCACTTACACCTCATGATTGCTAACTCACAAATCATTATCAAAAGAGAACTTTCTTCTTGTCAATTAATCGAATAATAATATGCTTTCAACAATTATATATCTATTAATCCCTCCATTGGCACATAATAAAATACTATTATTAAGAATAGATATTTTGAGTTTAATTTTTGAAGGTATTGGATAGTCTGAATCCATCCTAACATGAAAGATTACGAGAATCCAACTTGATTCGGGTGGGATTTTAAGATGGAAGGTGTGTGCAGAGGAATAGAACAATCAAGGTTGGAGACAGTGACAATGTTCAGATCTGGTCCGGGAAGCAGGCCGCTGCCTTAGATCCAGTCTTTGCTCCTCGGTCCCCTCAAAGATATTGCAAGAAAAGAAGCAATAAAGAGAGGGTCGAAAGCAAAAGCGCAGGTTAGAAGAATTGCCGGTTTGGATCTTCTCTTTCTCTTTCTCTCTCTTCTTTTCTCTGCTTTGGGTTATTCCCAGCTAACAGTAACCTCAGAGAGAGGCTCCAATTGTTCTGCTTTAGCTGCAATGGCAACAACGATGAAGAAAGCTAAACACGTCAAGGATGCCTTACCTTTACCTTTAATACATACAATTCCACCATGGTTAACGAGCTTGAACAGTTGCTACAATCACTTGATCAGCAAAACTTCACCGCTCTCTTCCTTCTCTCTCTCTCTCTCTCTCTCTCTCTCTCTCCGGCGCTCAAAATAAAAGGAGGTGGTCAGTAAAGTACTGCAACATCTCTTCACATCTTTGTCTGGAACATCTGAATGCGTATCTTGTGAGAGGGAAGATTGGACTCTTCGGACATCCCACCGCAACCAGCACTTGGTAAAGCAGAGCACTTTGGCAGAGCAGGAATATTAGAGCTAATGTTTTAGGAGTGTTCAAAGCTGGTCCATTTCCTGTTACATGCAAGATGAGACTCCCATCCTCCTCTAATCCATCTTCCGAGCGGGAGCTTCCCTTCTTCCTCGCACCACTAGGCTCTCGCAGGAGGTCGGCTTAGCTTCCCTGTTCTCCTAAAAAACCACACGCATAGAACCGTGGTTAGGCTCGGTGCAGTAGGAACACCACAGATGAAGGAAACTGGTGACCGACTCCATCGACCTATGGGCCTTTGAAACAGTAACAGTTGCAAGTAAGAAACCTACTTCCTTGTGTTCGTTGCTCTTTACTGCACTGTCTGACGTTTGCTCAATCAATCTCAATCTAAAGGACAAAGCATCTGTCTGTGCTTGAATTGTCTTTTACATTTACTACTGTAAGGCATGTTCAGAACACACCGTAAAGACCTAAATCCATGTCTAGTTTAAGTCCCTAGTAAAAATGAAGAATTGAGCTTAATTCATCTAAAACTGTAACGGAGTCATCCCTTTGTGTGTGGTAGGCAGTAATAACTAAACTAAACCTCAAAAGAAAGAAAGAAAAATAAATACTGTGTGTAAAGATTTTCCAGTACGAAACCAGTTAGATTCGTTGCATTACAGTTCCAAGAAGCTTAATGCAGTAAGAATCAAGAGAAAAAGAAGAAGACATACACTGTTAGAATTACCTGTTGTGGATGGGATCAGGTCCCTTAGGCACTCTTCTCTTGCTAGCATAGAAAGGGTCGAAGCTCCTGTCCCTCATGTGCTGCCTATCTCTAGAGGAAGCCGCAATTGCAACAGTCACCGGTGGCGGTGCTTTTGTTCCTCCACCAATCATAGACACCGACAGCATGAGCCCCAAGCACAAGAAGAATGTTAGGCCAGTGATCAACGCCCTCATGAACCTGCTACCACACATCCCTTCTCTTTCTTCTTCTTCTTCTGTTTCTTCTTCTTCGTTGACGCACGCCCGCCCCCTCAGCAGGTGGCGGAGGAGTTGGAAGGGCGAAGCTGGTAGTAGCAGTGAGGGCTCAAGGAGAAGAGTGAGGCAGTAGTGGGGTGTGCTTGTTTTTGGGCAATTCTTATATTTCGGATGGTGTTTGTTTCTTGAAGAGAGATTCTTGTGCTCGTCTTTTTTCCTTTGAACCTTCTCCTTTAATCATTGGAGTTGGAGTAGATTCTGTTGCACTTGCGTAGGACAACGAAGGGAGTTCATGTATATACGCACATACATATATTAAAACGAGCTGGGCATGATGATCTTCTGTAAGAGATGGCAACAAAATAATGATGGTGACAACGACATGTCTTATACGCAATACAATGATCAGATCAATTGGTTGCCATGCTTTCATATGATTACCTAAACATTTTTGTACTGTTTCAGTAACATTATCATGAGCTCTTCACTCTCTTTTCACCAGAGAGACAGGTTCATCATGGTCCCTGGAAGAAAGCACAAGCAAAAAAGAAGACTGGGTGACAGAAACATCTGCCTGAGCAAAGGCCTTAAAGTTTCCACAACAGCAGGGGAACGAAATCATGGTTCACTAACCTCCAAGTCCTTAGAACAAGGGCTGATGCAGACATGATACTGGCATCATGTCTCTGCAGTGTGTGTATGTATCATGCATCGGATGTAGCTGTAGAGCTCGACGTCACTGATGCTGCCCTCTTTGTTGCATCTTCTTGCCTTTCCAATCTATCCAAATCATTTCTATTATGCCAAGCTATAATGCCATGATTGTTAACAAGCTTTAGAAAATATACATTATCGTAAATAGATCTATAACATGCTCTATAGATGTTTTGACCCATCAACGGTGCACGAGCGACTTCAACGCCTCAACCAAGCAATACTATCTTGCGACATGTTGTGTTATGGATCGAGACCAATGACATGAAGAGTAAGAAACGTGCTCGAACCGGAAAGATACGGCCCACAAACCCCTTCCCAATCCAACCACCGGCGAACCTAATAGCTTAAACCGGCTTTTGTTGCCCAAGCCAACGGACTTTGCACTTTCCAAAATGGATACTGTGTTTTTCCACCCGATCGCTGCTTTACCGACCTCATTGCGCTCACAGGCGCAGCGTGGGTCCCGCGGTAGTTACTCGCGGGTATGCGTGAGTTCGTCGTGGCCCGGTATGCCACACCAATTGGCTCACCGATTGCGACGTGGCAATCTCTATATGGTGACACGAGGATCTCCACCGAGTCCATTCCCAATGTGGACGCCTTCCCGTCCCGATTCTTCGTCTCCCGTTACTTCTTCTTGTTGTTGCCTCATTTTCACGCTTCAGCTCCCCTTCCCATCTCCGCTGGTCGTCCTCAGGTGACTTTCAAGGAAATAGAGAGAACAGAGATGGAAGGAGCAGGTTGGAAGAAGAGAGGAGGAGGAGGAGGAGGAGGAGGTGAGAAGAAGGATCTGTTCCATGTGATCCACAAGGTTCCGCCAGGAGACAGCCCTTACGTCCGCGCCAAGCACCTCCAGGTACTTCTTTTGCTCCCCTACCTTGTGCACAAAGGTTCTGTTGTTCTTGTTGTGGCTTATGGTGTAGTCTTCTCGGTCTTAGCTTTCATATTGTTTTTTCGTTATCAGAGAAGTAATTGTGTTTGTTAAGAACATTCACTTGCGAACGAGATTCGCATTGGCTTCTTTTCTTCATGTGCATTCATTTTAGAAGAAAAAATGGGCAGAAGATTTGGGAAGAATTGCTTTCAGTGGAGGAACATGAAATTTTAGCATTAGAACAGACGACAAGAGAGAATTAGTGCTTTCCGGATCAGGCCCAACTTTCTAGTCAACTCATATCCTTCTGTAAAGCCAGATGCTGTAGTATAGAGAATAGATCCATTAAACTGACCCATTCGGGACTGAGCTGTTGATGATTTCCTTCTTGGCCATTTGTACCGATGGTTGTCTTATCTGCAGATCCTATCAATGAACAGGGGGGCGAAAATGGCACAATGCATCGCGTTGGGAATCATGTTTATTTGTTTATCACGTTAATCTATGTATCTTATCTAATACATTTGTTTCTAACTGAGATTCTTACACAAATGTACCAGTTAGTAGAGAAGGATCCGGATGCTGCGATTTTATGGTTCTGGAAAGCGATAAATGGTAGGGATAGGGTAGACAGTGCTTTGAAGGACATGGCAGTGGTTATGAAGCAGCAGAATCGAGCAGAGGAAGCAGTTGAAGCCATTAGATCTTTCAGGCACCTCTGCTCCAAGCAAGCACAAGAGTCTCTTGACAATCTTCTTATTGATCTTTACAAGGTACCGCAATTGTTGTTGTTAATCTAGAGAGGATCACAAGTTATAGAAGTATCAGATGGTCAATTTTATTATGGTGCTAATTGCCATGCAACATTTTGCTGCTCAGAAATGCGGAAGGGTAGAGGAACAGATAGAGCTTCTGAAGCAGAAACTGCACATGATATACCTTGGGGAGGCTTTCAATGGAAAGACAACAAAAACAGCACGCTCGCATGGAAAAAAGTTCCAAATCAACATTAAGCAAGAGACTGCTCGCATCCTGGTAACCTTCTTGTTCTTGATGTCATTGCCCACTGTTAAGAAAAGTATTAATTTAATTGCATCAAGATAGATTTGTTTCCTAATTATGCTGGTATGACAAATAAGCATTGAGGTAGCACTAGAAGCTGCATGTTGTTTGCATGCGCGACAATGTCCTTGGAAGGTAAAAGAGAACCGTATTTTGTTACTTAATTATGTTGTGGTTGTATAATCTAGATTGCACTAGCTTCGGATGCATACTTTTCATCTCTATGAGCTGGTGTTGGGTAGATGAATGCTGGTCAAGCTAGTCTACAGAGTACTACTATATCCATTCAGAAAAAAACTTTTCATAGTGATGAGCCAAAGTTCAGCTAATCATGAGAACAGCTTTATATGGAATAGATGTTGCAACATTTTAAAGATCTACTGATACGATTGCCAAGGAACATGTTCACTTAAATGGCAAAATTAGCAAAACTCAGTTGGTTCGACTGCGTAATATGCAGCTACTATTCTTTTAGTTAAGTCATTGTTCTTTATGACAATCAACTAAAAGCAAGGAAATTTATTACTTGTGTTTCCTGCCTGTCTTGTGAAGTTTTGGAGATCGAACCAGTGAATAATTTTGGGGTTTCATTTGCAGTTCCTCAAAGAATTTAACCATACGGAAGTCTTTACATCACTGATTTTTAATATCGTATCTGACAGGGCAATCTAGGCTGGGCCTACATGCAGCAGAGCAACTATGATGCTGCTGAGGTGGTCTACCGCAAGGCTCAGATGATTGAACCCGATGCCAACAAGGCCTGCAATCTTGGGCTATGCCTCGTCAGGCAAGGCAGATATCATGATGCCCATCATGTGATCGAGGATGTCATCCACCGCCGGTTCTCGGGTTCTGATGATTGGAAGACCATAAAGAAGGCTGAAGAGTTGATGCATGAGATTGATCTGCGGCCAGCCACATCAACATTAGAGATTGATTTTGGTCAAGAAGAGGAAATCATGGGGAGAATCGACCTCTTGATGAGTGATTGGTCTCCCTTCAGGTCAAGGAGGTTACCCATTTTTGAGGAGATATCCACCTTCAGAGATCAGATAGCTTGCTGATAATTGTACTGTTCCATTTTTTTTTCTGTGCATAAGAAGGTTGATTGTACAGGAATTAGTAATTTTATATGGACTGAATGCCCTGATATCGATATAAGTTGGCAGTGAGAAGAAAAAAAAAGGTTGATTTTTGGTTGAAGCAATTTTTTCTTTGTGCGTCAGGATGCGGATGCTTTTGCCTCAAACCACTTGTACATTTAGAACACGGCTATGAATATTCATCTAGTTTGTGGATGTTTCTTTGTCTATGTCATCTCAAGTGAGGTGTGGTTGTTAAACTGTGAACTGGATGACCAGGTTTGCATATGTTGATCTATATCGAGCTACTGGTTGAGTGATGCTTCCTTCAATCTTGCCGATTGTCGGATTGCTGCTGGTTTTGCCTTCCCCTCCTTTTGCCAAACATCTGAGTTGTTTACAGTAATTTAATGGACGGAAGAAAAAGTTTTGCAGTTCATGTTCTTAGAATATTCGACCACCAATGAATGCATCCTACAAATTTTAAAGAAGGATACACCATCCTATAGATACAAAATGAAAATAAGATGATAGCAAAATACAAAACCATGTTTTGCAACTCAAGTACTCATCCATTGATGCCCGTCTAAAGCATGCAAAGAGCATCACGGCTGTTCGTGTGGCCTATCATTAATTAAGATACACAGGACATGGGAAGGCTTAAACATAGATCTGCCTCCACTTACCACTCACAGCTAAAGCCTATACCAAATGAGAAGAGTAATCATGACGAGCACCAATCTCCCTCGGATGTTGTCAAGTTGACCTGCAGCTGAAGACAGGCCAGGAGTTGAACCCTCAGTATCAGTTGTATTCTCCTTTGGGCAAGTGTAGTTACAGAGGCTTGGCCGGACAACCCTGTAGACACCTTTGCTGGTTAAAAGGAATACATCCTTTCTATTATCCTCGCCAAATGAGTATATATATCCCAGCGATGGGAGAGGACTTCCAGCAATGGTATCACAAGGAATCGGGGAGTTCTTGGAACAACTAAAAGGAATCCTACTGCCGGTGTAGTTTCCACTGTTTTCCGGGATCTCTGTGCCTGCCCACAGAGCTCCAGCATACAGATCTGTGTATATGTACCTAAAAATGCCATACACGGAACAGCAGGTCTTACAGTCCAATTAGAGATAACTTTTAAAGCTGAGAAGTGAGATTAATCTCTATATCAAGTTACTTGCTGTGGTTAAAGTGTCCACAAGTTCTTAGTTACCTTCCATACATGCAGGGGTCTGTGGTTGACCTGTATACATAGCCGCCAGTAATAGATGCAGAGCCCACGTTTGTATTCACATCGGCGTGAGTATAGCCCATAATAGGAAAGATTGGGTTTATGGAGTCGAGTGATGTATTTCCTCCAGGTGCCCATGGTGAATGATAAAGATCAGGACCCTCGTACACGCGCCATCCGTAGTTTCCACCTTTTGAGATCAAATCTACTTCTTCATATGTTTCCTGTGATTACATTGGTGTCGGTCATCTGACTAATTTATTACGCAAACTTACTTATCTACCAGCAGGAGAGCTTTTCAAACAGAGAATTGTGTTATACAACGGTATCCAACTTGAATGATAGAATGCAGCATATTACATCAGAATTAGACTTTATGAACTAGCAGAATTAAACATCTAATGTCATACATAACTAGAATGCTATAAAACATCACAAAAAATAGTTCATAAGTATGTACATTAGATGCTTAGAAAAGGAACAAACATATTCTACAATGAAGATAGTGTAATACGCATCCGAAACATGCAAACATGCCGAAAGGAAAAGAAAAGAGACCTGGCCAACATCTGCGCAGAAGAAATAAGAAGGCCTTTCTAAGTCAAAACTGCAACGCCACGGGTTCCTTAGACCATATGCCCATATTTCAGCCTGTAATTCACTATCAACAGTATAGGCATTATCCTTTGGGATAGAATAGTTTCCCCATAGGCCAAGATCAGTTATCTGACTCTGACCTAGAAAAAAACATCAGCAGTTAGTAGAACTGATAATAACACTCACGACAAATTTACATGACAGGTTGCATTAACTGATCCAATATCTGAAGAATTTTTAAAGCACAGTTATCACATTATTCACAAAATTCAACAAAAATTCTCCAACATAGCGAGTGAATGTGTTTTAAAGATGCATAAAGCATACTTGTATTATGTTGGAAACTCTTGGAAAAAATAGAGGTTGTTTTAAAGATTAATTTGGCCAGTGGCCAGCTTCACATGCACAGCATACATTCTTACACACATGTTCGTGCCAAGCCAGTCTTTTTCTCATGAGTAATGGAATATGATCCAAGATATGCTGCCACGATACCAGCATAAAATATATTTTGATCCTAAAAAGACAAAGTACAAGAGCTGTTGCCCTGACAAAAGACAAAATAATGATTCTTATGTACACAGTGAGATTTTCTCCAATTCATAAGATGGTATTTTATTCATCATGTCATGACTGACATAAAACAATAGAAATCTCAATCAAACAATTAACATGACAGAAGCAAAAAAAAAAAAAAAAAGATTTTAAGTACTTATTCCAAGCAGTAACAAGTGTCATGTAATTGGAAGACTGTTCAATTTCTTATCTAGTTGGAAAAAAAAATGATGGTGGCAGATTTGTAACTTGTTAGAATGGTAACACAATATTAGAACTTATGGGTCGCATTGGAATTAATATTGTCATTGAACAACAGCATACAACAGCTGATTTGCTTTACATATTGACACGGACTTAGCTGGTTTTGCCTAAGTCGTGCGGCACCCTTGCGTGTCCGTCCGCAAAGGTCAGCCTCCCCGAAGACTCCCATTGTCCCTTAGGACCAACAAAAGAGAGAACGGGCAAGAGAGAACGCCTCAATCGGGATCCACAAGCAAACATCTCCGAAAAACACTTCATAGACAATGCAAATTACAAACAGACTTTACAAGCTCTGAACAGTGGCACAACAAAGGGTAAAATGGTCCATTACAGACCGAAAAGCTCTCTCACGTGTCCACATGACACAACCTTTATTTACAAGCCTAAAGAGGCCACCAACCCAACTAAAATGAGACTTATAAGCCTTCGGCTGCCCCTCTACACGCTGTACAAGGCATGAACATGCCAACAGACACGGACAGATATAAGCATTACATCAAACATCCTGTTTCAAAGTTTGTCCGTGACATTCTCCCCCACTTATCCCTTCGACGTCCTCGTCGAAGCCTTTGTGAACACTGCAACTCTTCGCCTTTGCTGAGTCTTCAATCTTCCGCTCCAGCTGCAATGCGCCTCCTGGCTCCCAGCTGCTCTCCGCTGCTGTTTTTGAGTCGTCGAACTTTGATCCGCCATGCTGCTTCAACTCACCAATGACTCTGACTCTGGTGTGGGGTTGGCTGAGTTGTGTTGATCCTCGTTGATTCCTGCGGATCCACGAAATGAAGGAAAAGACCATCCTTACTGCGCCAGTCTCTCAAAATTTTCACATGCTGCTTGAACTGGGTGGATGCTTGTTGGAGCTTTAACGAGCATCGCCTCGCAAACTTCTGAAGTTTTGGGTCCTTCCTCCACAAAATCTGCTCATTGACTCTTCTTTCAGTTAGTTGTCACATCCAAGTAGGTTCGCATTACTTCCGCTTTCGATAGGCATTTCGTTGGGAA